CATTCCATGCTCATGGAAAATGTATAAGGAATTTCTCCACTGTATCTTTACTAGGCTAACTACGCCTGATCGACATTTATCTTCATAATAATCTCATTAGCTAAAATGGAAGTTTATATGCTTTACTAGGGGCGAACATCTGTTTAAATCGGTTTTCGACATGCTTGTTCTATTTATCTCTCTTTTCCGGTGTCCCGTTTAGGTAAACTCGCCTCGGTTCTCATGTTTACTTTGTTTCTTTCTTTCTAAACATGGAAGTTATATTACCTGCTTCACCGATTTTCATAGACTTATTTTGACTGATATTACTTGGTCGACCTATTATTATAACATGAAAGCTTACTATAAGGTGTTGTTCTCATGGGGGTTTTCTATATAATGATCTTCTAACCAACTGAAATTTTCCTCAAGTCCAATGGTTTCCAGATAATATCCATCGCTGGAACGTATGCTTCAAACCATCTTTATATAATTCGTGTGATTTTCTTCCTTTTCAGTAGATTATGGTATTCCTGTGGCTTTTTTGAGATTCGTTGGTGACTCATTATCTTCTTCTTTGATTCTTATTTTCGAGGATGCTTGTCCATATCTTTGATTCCTGTTATATTACTGTCTATTTTGTGGTCCCAGCTGTATTTATTTTGGAGCACTGTGCCTATTTATACTTGTCTTGAAGCTGTGAAACACTGTGTTCTGTAGGCATGTTATCTCCTCTTGCTAAAAATTAGAAGGAGCTGTGTGATTGACCTAATTTCAAGTTTTCTAGAAATGGATTATCTCTTGTATTCTCAGAAGCGTTATGGTTACTCATGTAATATGCTTATTGCCTAGAGCCATCTGATACCATTTATCTTGTGAATTAGACACAAACTACGTATTTTCAGACTTTACATTGATGAATGGTTTAATCTTATCGGTTTTGAAACTGGAATCTTGTGGGACTATGTATATAGGTGGGTGGATTTGGAATGGTTCTTGTTCAATGTTTGATGGCACCAGAATTTATGTTCTTATTGTTATTTCATGCTGATGGAATAGGTATAAGGTATCTTTGTCTGTTAGACTAGGCTACCTACGTGTAATCAACATGTATGCTCGTTTTATCTTCATAATGTCAGTAGCGAGAATAAAAGCTTATAAGTTAAGAATTATAGCTTAACTAGGTGAGAACCTGTGCAACGCGGCAAAGCGTCCAAATAATTTTCTTCATTTCATTTTAAGCATACCTGTCCGAACTCTTTTGTGGTGTTCCGTTTAGGTATACGCGTCTCTGTTTGCATG